CTTTCATCTTTTGTTATTTCTATTTTCTTGGGTAAGATTGTTCTTATTGCCACCTATCTTCTTAATTGTATGCCCACTCCATTTCTCTCTAGTATTTCCCTAGATGAAAAGTTGTTTGGCCAAGTTCCTAATTATTCTTTATTGCGTGTCTTTGGGTTCGCTTGTTTTGTTTTTCCTAAATGGGAGTGTTCCAAGCTCAAAATTTGCTCCATGCTTTCTGTTTTTGAGGTATGGTATTCATCAGAAAGGGTATCGGTGTTTTGATTTGGTTTCTAAAGTGCTGTATGATTCTAGTCATGTGTTTTTTCTCAAGTGTCTTCCTTACTATTCTCTCAAAGATTGTTCCTATGTCTAAGGAGGATTTGATCCATATTGATCCTTTTCTTGCCCATATGTTTGATGAGTTCACCATTTCTCCTGCTGTTTCTGCTTTTCTTCTTCTCCTTGTACTTCTTCAAGTATCAACTCTTTTTCCTTAGTTATTCTTGGAAGAAGGCTTCTCCACCTACCTCCATCAATTCTTCTACGCCCACTGCTTTTGTGGAACCTGATCCCCGTGAATGATGTTATCCTTTTTGTGCTCGTAAACTGTCGGTGAGACAATTTTACTAATACTTGCTTCATTTTTCATATCGTGTCTTTTTGTCATCTATTCATGCTTACTTTGAACCTCAGTCTTATAAGGAAGCTTGAACTGATCTTAATTGGATGCATTCAATGAACGAGGAGTTAACTACTCTTGGGAAAACTCGCATTGAGGAGTTGGTTCCTTTGCTTCTCAGGAGACATGTTATTGGTTGCAAGTGCATTTATAAAGTTAAAACTCACTTTGATGGATCTTTCAAACGTTATATGGCACGCTTGGTTGTTAGGGGCTTCTTATGAGTATGGAATTGACTACAAGGAGACTTTTGCTATTGTTGTTAAGATGACGACTGTTCGTACCTTGATTTAGTTGTTGTTGCTCATAATTGGTCTCTTTCTTAGATGGATGTTAAGAATATCTTCCTTAATGGTGAGCTCTATATTACCTGGAACATGGATTGTTATGGTACGTGGAATAGGAACGGGAAGGCGGTAGGCCACATGTTCTAAATTGTGGTACGATAGGGGTACACTTGTATAGTTTACATTATAAGAATTTGAGGTACTTTTAGTTTAGAGTAAATTCTTTTTTTTTTTTAACAATTAGACATCTAATAAAATTTAAGTTTTTTTCCAAATTAATCATGTAACAACACATTTTTCTGGGTATTATGACCTATTTTTGACATTTGTCATGTCAAAATTTCCTTCACCTTAGATTTTAATTCATTATATTTGATATTTTTTACTCTTAAGGAAACCTTAAAGAAATATATTGAAAAAAACCTTTCGAGATCGCTTTACTAAATTTACCGTTTTAGAATGAAAGTGTATCACGTTTCAGGTTGTGCATTCTAAAACATAATTCACTAGGGTGTCAACGTTTTCTGGTAACATTGGATTATCTTAATGGGAAAGTTTATGTGTCCCCCTTGTGGCCTTTCTTCTCCCCAGGTTATGTTTTTCATTTAAGGCATGATCTTTAGGGTCTTAAACAATCTCCTTATGCCTGGTATGAGCATTTTCAGTTGATTGTTACTCATATTGGCTTTCACCCCTAATGTCCATGACTTTACTCTTTAATTCCCCATACATCTGCTGGGATGGTTGTTTTGTTATTATATGTGAACGATATGATCATTACTGGTTCGGATCCTGTTGTTGTTGTTGAGATGAAACATCTTTTCTGTGAATTTGAGATGAAAGACATAGGCCTTGTCAGCTATTTTTTTGGTATTGAAATTGCTTCCTCCCCCAAGGGTTATCTTTTTTCTCAATCCGAGTATGTTACTGAGATCATTTATCATGTTCGATTCAGTGATTACACACGAAATTTTCCACATATTCCTCTTGATGATCCTATCCTATATTGTGAGTTGGTTGGTTGTTTGGTTTATGTTATTGTGACTCACCTTGATATTGTGTATGATGTTTATGTGGTTATTGTTTCTACACGTCGATCTACTCATTGCCTTGCTACATATATTATGTTATGTTCATGGTACTATCTTCCAGAATTTGTTGATATCTTTTGATTCCAATTTGGCACTTCAGGCTTTTGTTGAAGCTGACTGTGCTAGTGATGTCTCTAATTGCAAGTCTATTATTGGTTTTTGTATTTTTCTTGGCGACTTTGCTGGTCCACTGCTAAGGCTGAATATTGTGCTATGGCTTATGCTACAACAAAGATTGTTTGGCTTCATTGGCTTCTTAGATTTAGGGGTCTCTCTTTCTTCTCCAACTCTTCTCTATTGTGACAATCAAAGTGCCATCTAGATTGTACATAATTTTGTGTTTCATGAGTGTATGAAGCATATAGAGTTTGATTGCCATTTTGTTCATCAGCATCTTCAGCTAGGCACCAGTGGTTTGCCTTTTGTATCCTCTTTGCAGCTTAGAGATTTCTTTTCCAAGACTTGTATGTCTGCTTGCTTTTAGTTTTTACTTGACAAAGTCTCGATGCTCACCAGGTTCACATCATGAGTGAGGAGGCGTGTGTGTGTATTGTAAAAGGAATATATTTTAGTATTAGGGTGCTTTGGTCATCTTCTAGTAATTAGGGTTTCTTCTTTGTCTTATTTAACTAGATGTAATCTGCCTTGTTTTCGCAAGGTTGCTTAGAGGTTTATACAATATAATTCTCTTCTATGTATCATATTACTCACAGCAAGTTGAAGATTCTACTCCGTTTGTAGAGGGGAGCTAGAGTGGGGAAGAGAAGGAAGAAGGCTTGACTTCTGGTTCCTTTGGCTCTTATGTGGATCATTTGGGGAGAATGCTATAGGAGGACTTTTGATGCGAAGGAATCGCCTGTTCTTTAAGTTGACAAGTAGATTATTGTCTTTTTTATGTAGTTGGTTCTTGGGTAATGTTGATGAGAAATGCTACAGTGACCATGTTCATATATCACATTGGGTTTTACCATCTCATTTGTCATAATTCCATTGGTTGAATGGAATATGGTTTATAAATACAGTGATGACATATCACAAGGTAAACTAAATATGGTATATAAATATGGTAATTGTAGCATTATTCATTATCGATTCATTTTTGGGCAAACTTAACTTTACCCCCTTATGGTTTGGACCATGTGCAGTTTACCCCCTTAACGTTTGGAAATGACTACATAACCCCCATGTAGTTTGTGGATTAAACTGCACACGTAACTCTGTTAACAATATTAATAAAAAAGTCCACAATACCCCATATATATACATCCTACTTCATCTTAAATGTTAGCCCTAACTCTACACTACCAACCACCTCTCGACAGGCCCACCACCGTCCCCATTGACCGCCATTCCCAACCACCGCCAACCCTAAGCCTACATATGTATGTATGTATATATTTGTGTGTGTAAAAGTGAATTAGTGAGTGAGTGAATGAGCGTGTGAGAAAATGAAAAAGAGCTGGACTTGGTTGCCATTCACCTTCATAATCCTATGATTCATCAAATAATTAATCTCTTGTGATCTGTCAACAAAGAAGTACAGGATGAATGTGGTGCCATGTGATTGGGTTGGGTTGATTTATGGGCTCTCTTTCTATTTTTTATTTTTTATCATAAAGGTGAATTATGAGTTTGCTGAATATATATATATATATGGGGCTGCGAAAATGAGTATGCGGGGTGGGATAGGAGGTGTGGGGCCGTGGTCTTTGGTGAGGCAAGGTAGATCCTTGTTATAATATTAAAAAAAAACTGCATAACCATGACTTTGCAGTTTAGAGGAAACATAATTACAATGCAAACAACAATCTGGAGTTAGACATGGTGCATCACAACTTTTTTAACATGATGAGATGCAAATTTCTTACTAATAGCTTAGCAATGTATGCTATCCCATTAAAACACATTAAAGATACTGAATTTGAAGCATGGTTGGGTGGGTTGATGATTAGGGTTTGTACAGAGGTCATAGGACTGGAAGAAGAAAAGATATTGGCACATTTGTAAATTTTAAAATATGTAAGGGCATTTTCGGTTAAAAATTTATTTTATTCACACCTACTCTCAACAATGGCGTGTGAGTTGCACCTCCGGTTAGATTGGATGGAAAATGTAACAGTGCATTTTAGTTCACAAACCACATGGGGGTTATGTGGTCATTTCCAAATATTAGGCGGGGTAAACCACAACATGGCCCATAGCATAAAGGGGTAAAGTGAAGTTTGCCCTTCATTTTTTAATTAAAATTTGAATTTTGAAGAGCCTTTGCGTAATGGAGGTTGTATAGATAAATATAGGGTTTTGTACGCGATTTGCACCCCAGTGGTGCCTCGTTTATGTTATCATTACTTATCAAATAGAAGGAGAGATGAATATGGAGGGTCATTCTAGGACGTGAATGGTGTACTGATGAACAGTTTCAAGCTGATCTTGTCAATTCTTTTTTCTTCTATTAACCCCCTTTTGGGGCTAGGTTTAAATATTTAGAGAGATGTTAGCTTCTTAAAGTAGGACTTCCATATGTAGAACAGAGATTAACAAGTTCTACTGTCAGTTTCTATAGTTTCAGAAGTGCAGAAAATTAAAAGGAAGAAGAAAGTAGTAGGTCTTAATGTTCCCTCAGGCATCAAACATAGGTAGGTTTATATAATTTCTCAATTACTAGTAACATCTTATTTATTTATTTATTTTAGAGGTTTATTGTAGATTGCTGAAGAACTCTTTTCTCTTGGTGATTATTCATCAGGGAACTTGATTGATGAAGTCTTGTGATGCATTTTATACATTTCACTTTTCGAGTAAACATGAATGATTTGAAGAGGATTTATTGATCGTATAATGTAAATGTTGTCTCCTTGTAATGTGTTGTTGATTTCCTAGTTGCACTAGGCTGCATTAATAGTTTGTATGCTCAATAATATTTTAATTGGTAAACCTTTTGATGACTACAAATTGATACAGGCACACCGTGAATCGACTGGGACAATATTATCTGGCAATGGTCATATTCTAGATCCTGTTGCTGCTGCAGAGGAGATAGCTTTCTGCGGAGCTTGTGCTCGGTTTGGCCTTGGCTTGTATCTGTATCATGAAGAATAGATTCAATAAACAAGGGGTTTGATTTTCAGCTTTGAGTTGTTTGTAATTGAGAAATTATACTATATTTATAATCTCTGTCTCATTTGCTGTAAATATGTAATAGAGGAGTGGTCATTCTGCATTTGAGATTATCTATTTTAGATCATGGACACCATTTCAGAGATAAAGCCCTCATTCAAACTATGAACTATAGATACTCTCTATGTGCATTGAGCTAGATTGAGTTATCTGAAAAACATAGATAAGCTTGGCAGTCAGAAGAGTAATTTGCTTTATAGGTCATATGAAGCACAAGTGTCTAGGTCATATGAAGCACAAGTGTCTTCTTTCTTTTTATTTGTTACATTTCCAATATTTTTTTTTGTTATGGGTCCATATATTAAAGCAAAATTTTTGGGACTTTGATCCTCCATTTCTGGTGGGAAATGGAGATTTTTATTTCAATGCACGAGTTTTTGATACATCATCAAAACCTATAATCCTGTATGAATTGTATAACCTTCTTTTAACTGTTTTTTTATTGACTTCCGCTGTCCATGATCGTGATTATGAAATGGAGAGGATCCAAATTTTAATTTTATGAAATTTTATTCTAATTTTATGTAATCACGCTAGAAGATCCCTGCTCATTTTTCACTTAGCAACGGAAAGAGTAAAATTATATAATGGCTAATTATGAAATGGCTTGGGATAAAAGTATATAGTTTCTTGAAATTGTACGGTTTGCAGCAGCCAAGGATATTCAGGCTGTATTACGAAGCTTCTCAATTTGTCGAAGAGGACTGTAGGCCAGCTGATCTTTCTGTTTTACCTTTAGACTGTTTGATTTACAGATTTAGGGAGAGATTTGAAAAGAAAAAAAGAAAAGGCGTCAAATGCCAGTAAAATGTAATTATATTTCATATATGTTTTACCTACTTTTTTTTTTCTTTTTTCTTTCAAAATTTTCACCAAATTCATGAGCCAAACATAGCCTTAGGCACACAATCTTGGGGCTGGGAATCAATTTGGAAATTTCTTTTCCTGTGCTTTTCCTTTTCATTTGAAAAACATGAGGTTGAAATATTTCTATGACATGGTTAAGAAATCATGAAATCGACGAGGAATAATGAAATCCAAAACTAACTTATAATGAATTATTTTTGTTGTATTCTAATTACCCCCTCACAGAATCAGTAAGTCAACATGAGCATAATTGTAAAATAAATGGGGCAATAGTGTTCCTCTTTGATGGATAAAATTCACTGAAATTTCTCCGTTTGGAGATGGGATTGCAGGAATTCAGGGGCAGAGTCAACATCAGATCTCCTTCATTGAACAAGAAAAGTTAAGTAATCTTTTCAAGGCAAACTAAGGTTGCCAAACTAGTGCAATCTAATTCATCCACTCCGTGGCCATGAGAAATTTTACATTAGAAACGTGCACTCACAGTATTTACAATATTTGAACATAATTTTTTAGTACTCTCTTGTTGACTAGTACAAAAGCTTAAATGACAATGATCCTGGAATCTCAATACTAGGAATCCTTTTTGGTACTAACGAAAATTTCATTTGTTCTCTTTTGTTTTGAGATTAAAACATGGCCTAGAATTGATTCTTGCTTCTTATATAATGTCATATGGGGACAAAAAAGAAGAAAGGAAAAGGGACATATCTTCTCAAACACAGCCAATATCAATAATGGCTAATTTTCTATGGAGTAAATCACCAAATAGCTCTCTTGGACTACTAGAGCAACCCTGCACATGACCAAAAATATAAAGGTTTCCTTCTCTTATTGGCAATCATGAAGTGATCCTAGTCATGTTTAACGAGTGTTGCTTATTACAACCTTATAAACAAGGATACATATACAACAACCTCACATTAGCAGATATATGTATATACTTCTGAGATTTTCAGCCAGTTAAAATGAAAAAATAACACAGGCAAACAATAAGAATTAACCTTATTTTACACCCATTTCTTTTGTTTCTTCACTATCGCGTAAATTTTCACTACTGCAAGAACTTGTTTTATCATTCTTTGTCATGGTCTCAAAAGTTTTGGACCTGCATTAGAAGCCATCCAAGATGTGATTACATCCACAAGCAGGTCTACATCCTTTGATATTTCTGCACGAAGGATCTTTGAATCTACACCTAGTGTGTTGCCTACTTCTTTGGCGACAGTCTCCCATGGTGTTCCTGCAGTCAAATTTGCCAAGAACTCCCCTCCTCTGTTAACTGCATCTGCCATTGCTGGAGGAACATCTGGGAGAGCCTGCACAATGGAAATTTACAGTAAATTTTCTTGTTTCATCTTTGAAAATTAAGAAAACCAAATTTGCATCCTGAAAGTTCATGAATCTAAACAACAGTTTTTTGGCAAATGCCCATGTATCAGCCAAGCATGTATACATGTGTACATATAGTGAAGCATTATGATAGACTTTACACCAGTCTACCATAGGAACCTATTCATTTCCCCTGATATATAATCTTATCCTGCAATGAAATGGTCTACTCAGTTTAATTGATTTTATAGTTCCTACTACAGTGAGATTTCCCAGCTTTTGACATTATATGTTGTATTATGTTACACCATATCCATGATCATCCAAATTTTAACAAGAATTGAAGTTTAACATGAGCAAACTTCGACAAGAATATGGTAAACTTAAAAAGTACACATACAGAAAGCATTGCTGGAAAGTATCATGACAACATATATATATAAATGAAACTTAAAAAAGGTTTTTCCTGACTAAATCTTCTACTACAAATTTTACCTGTTGCAAAGGAAGACTGTGATCCCCGGGCAACAAGCGAATCGACATATCCAGCATTGAACTAATGGCTGAATCGCTAAGCACCTGTGCTAGTGCTGAAGTTTCATCAATTGTATCATCTTTGAACTTTATTAGAAGATTCCTGGAAACGCCATAGTATGACTTTGTCTGAAAAATTCACAATTGCCATGAACTAAATAATGAGCCATGTTCAAAAAAAGTAAAAGAATTGCACCAAAAAACAATAAAACAAAATGATGTGGTACTGAAGTGTTAAAAGTTACAAGGGCACCACCATGCCGGGGGCATTTTATTCTTCTCACATTTTTAAGACCATACTTCAGTGAGTTACAAAGAGAATTGTGAAGGTAACTGAATAAAGGTGAAGGATAGGTACAATGTGATAATGAGCTCATCGTTGCTTCAATTCTCTCTCCATTAAAATAAAAGAGGTGACCAAACAAGAAAAAAAAACCAAAAAATTCCTTTAACCTCGTGCATTTTTGGACACTTTTCCAGCCAGTGTATTAAACAGCCAAATAGTTCAGGATCCAAACATTTCTCAATTGAAATTTTTTTGGGGGTTACTCTAAAAATTGGATTTGGTGAATTAAACACAACTTTTTTTGTACTTTCTCCTTTCGATTTATTTTTCTCTTTCTTGATTTGCAATATGATATCAAAGTCTGAGCTGCCTTCTTCCATGTTCTCCCTATCTCCTCTCTTTTTTATGTAATTTTTAATTAATAAAGCATTTATTGCTAATAAAAATAAGGCTGGTACCGAAATCCTAGATGATGCAAAGCTTGCTTACAAGAGAGGGGAAATCAGGCCAAAGTAGATGTTAATTTTACAGAGGGAGAAGTACAAGAAGATAGAGAACCGAGAGAGAGAGAGAATTGCTGCTGGAAAAAAGAGTTGACACAAAACTTAGGGTTAGCCTCTTAGATTCTAGTATTTATATTAATAAACATAATTACAACAGTACTAAAATAACCTTAGACTCAAATAACCTAACACTTAACACTCTCCCTTAAGTTGGAGCAAATATATCTCTCATGCCCAACTTACAACAAATGGGATGAAATACCTTACTACCAAGACCTTTAGTAGATAGATCAGCCAATTGGTCTCCAGACTTCATGAAAGGCATACATATCAAACCCTTATTCAGTTTTTCCTTAATAAAATGTTTTGTCAATTTCAATATGCTTAGTCCTATCATGCTGAACGGGATTATGAGCAATATTGATGGCAGCTTTGTTGTCACAATATAGAGTCATGGGTTCACCGCAAACGATTCCTTTATCACCCAACAAGGATTGCAGCCACATAAGTTCCCATGTACCCTGCGCCATAGCTCTACACTTTGCTTCCCCACTAGATCTGGACACAACTGATTGCTTCTTACTATGCCAGGTGACTACATTTCCTCCCACAAAAGCATAGTAACTAGAGGTAGATCGTCTGTCATCTATGAAACCTGCCTAATCTGCATCTGAGAATGCCTCCAATCTCAAGTGACCATGATTAGAAAACAAAATCCCTTTTCCAAAAGTAGATTTAAGATAATTCAAAATGCGATACATTGCATCCAAATGAATTGCACGAGGATCATGCATAAACTGACTCACTATCTCAACTGCATAGGCAATATCTAGACAAGTGTGAGATAGATATATAAACCTTCCTACAAGTCTTTGGTAACTTTTCCTCTCCACAAGATCACCAACACCACTGTAAAGACGATGATTAGCCTCAATTGGCGAATTAGTTGATCTGCAGTCTAACATGCAAGTTTCCTTAAGAAGATCTAGAATATATTTTCTTTGAGAAATAAAGATGCCTTTGTCAGACTTGACAACTTCAATCCCAAGAAAGTACCTCAACAAGCCAAGGTCTTTGATCTCAAATTCCTTGGCCAACTGCATCTTGAGATGTGTCACTTCCGCCTCATTATTTTCTGTCAAAACTACCTCATCCACATATACAATAAATACAGTCACCTTATTTGCATTGCGTTTAACAAACATGATGTGATTTGCATTGCTTTGCTTATACTCGAATCTCAACATAACTTTCAGAAATCTATCAAACCAAGCTCGGGGAAATTGTTTCAAACCATATAAAGCCTTTTTCAACCTACAAACTTTCCCAACTGTTAACTAAGATGAGAATCCTAGTACCTCCTCTAAATCACCATGGAGAAATGAATTTTGCACATCTAATTGTTGTAAAGGCCATCCCAAGTTAGCAACACATGAGAGAATCGCTCGAATGAAATTCATCTTCACTACAGGAGTGAAGGTTTCTTGATAATCAATTCCATATGTCTCAGTAAACCCCTTGGCAACTAGTCAGTCTTTGTACCGTTCAATCGTCCCATCTGCTTTTTGCTTAATGGTGAACACCCAATTACACTCCACTGGTTTTTTTTCACTAGGAAGAGAAACTATCTCCCAAGTGTTATTCTTGCTCAAAGCTTGCATTTTCTCTACCTTAGCTACTTTCCACTTAGGATCAGAAACGAAACACAAGCACGATATATAGAAGACAATGAATCATATGACAGAAATTTAGAAATGGGGTGTTGAGTACAAGCCCTAACTCTCTTTCTAAGAGCAATAGGAAGACTCAAATCATCAACCACATGACTGTCAACAACTGGTGGAGAAATAGACTGAGAATCATTACCAGTAGAATCAGTTGAAATAGGATGTAGAACTAGCACAACGGATGATGATTGACTTGATGGCACAAGAGAAGTTTTCTCTTTCAAACACCGTGAATAAGTCTTAAGATCAGCTCTATCCAAATGGCCACCAATGTCAAGCTCCACATCAAGAGAACTATTAGGCTCTCCCTCACCACAAATAACAGTCTTTTGACTAGGAAAGAAAAAAGATAACTCATGCTAATATGACTCATCTGCAATCTCATCCATAACACTCTCCCCTTGAAGAGATGGCGGAGAAGAAGTAAAAAAAGACTTAGATCCACGGAATGTGAATCTGACATATACTTTACAAGTGTGAGAATCATAGCATTTGTAACCCTTCTGAGTAGCAGAATAGCCAATAAAGACACACCGCACAACCTTAGGATCAAGCTTCCCATGAGTAGGAGGTTGCAGGTGAAAAAAATACACACCCAAAGACACGAGGAGGAAGAGACGAGGTAGGATAAGCCACAGGAAGAAGTTCAAGACGAATTTGGAATTGGAGGACACTAGAAGGCATACAGTTGATAAGATGCGCAGTGGTAAGAAGAATATCACCCCAAAAGGCCTTAGGAACATTCATGGTAAACAAGAGAGAGAGAGCAACTTCAAGGAGATAGCCATTCTTGCGTTGAGCAACTCCATTCTGTTGAGGCGTGTTAACACAACTAGTCTGATAAAGGATGCCATGCTCCTCTAGGTATGCCCGAAAAGCTCCATCAACATACTCAGTCCTATTATCACTCCGGAGAATTTTGATTTGAACATTGAAAAGATTAGTCACCACTTTATGCAAAAATTTGAAAATAAGAAAACACTTCACTCTTAGTTCAAAGTAAGTAAATCTAAGTCATATGGGAATAACAATCAATAAAAGTAACAAACCGCCGATACCTAGAAGTAGAAACCACAGGGGAAGGGCCCCACACATCGGTATGAATAAGCATAAAAGAAAAAGTGCTTATTTTATTAATTGAAGGGTAACAAGTATGTTTATACTTTGTAAGTTCACAAGTATCACAACCAAAATTATTCCTAGGACAATCACAAACTAAAGAAGGAAAAAACTTCGCTAAAATACTAAAGGAGGGTTAACCCAAACGACAATGCCACTAATGGAGGAGACGAAGAGATGAGCCAATAGTGCACTTGAGAGCCTGAGATGACAAAGGTAAGGCAGAAGGAACAACATCCATAAAATATAGTCCACTTAGTGCTCTGCCACTGCCAATCATTTTCCCCGCTACCAGTTCTTGAAAGACACAATGAGTAGGAAAAAAAGTCATCGAGTAATTTAGAGAAGTAGTAAGACTACTAACAGAAAGTAAATAGGTGGCCAAATTAGGAACATCAAGCATAGATGAAAGAGAGAGTAACGAGGAACAATGAACCGAACCCTTGCCAAATACAGAGGATAAAGTGTCATCAGCCATTCTAACCTTATCTCACCAAGAACAAGGAGAGTAAGAATAGAAAAGATTAGAGGCACCTGTTATGTGATTAGTAGCACCTGAATCAATAATCTAAGGAGATGATGTACTAAGTGCACGAGCCAAAATACCTATGCGAGCAAAGTTGAAAGAAGCAGAAGGAATTGTGGTAGGTGAATGTAAGAAAAATTGATGTATATTAAAATTGATGTATATTATTGATTGATTGTTTGATATGTATATTACAAATGGTGAGTGGCTCATTATATAGGAGAGGGTGAGTGTAGTAGGTGAGGAGTAGGTGAGGAGTAGGTGGTGGTAGGTGATGGTAAATTGGTGGTAGGTGATGGTAAATTTTAACAGCCCCCCGCAAACTCAAGGAGGATAGAAACTAACCAACTTGAGTTTGGAGAGAGTAACAAAACAAGAAAATACATAAAAAATAAAAGAGGATAGGAGACACTGTATGGTCGTGTCAGACCATTGGTGAAGACACTGGATGGTGGTGTCATAACGTTGTAGAGGACACTGTATGGGGGTGTCATAACGGTGTAGAGGACACTGTATGGTGGTGTCATAATGGTGTAGAAGACACTGGATGGCGGTGTCAGACCGATGTAGAAGACAGTTTATGGGGTCATGTCGGACCGTTATAGCAGACAATGTTGTAACAGTGGTTGTGACAGTTTACAGAGTCTTGCTGGACTCTTGTAGAAACTAACCGGAATCAATGTCGGGACAGTTTACAGAGTCTTGTCGGACCCTTAAAAAGTCGCACCCTCAAAAGGTGTGCCTAATTTTTCAAAAAGGCGTGCCCAATCCATAAAAAGGCGTGCCATCAAAAGTTGCGCCCTCAAAAGGCGCGCCCACTTCATCAAAAGTCGTGCCCGACAGAAAGCGTCGAGCCATCAAAAGGTGAGCCGGAGACGCGGCGAGGCACGTGAGCGACAGTGCGCGTGTCGGCCGCTTTGTCATGTTCTATATAAATCAATGCGGAGGCTGAGGCAGAAAACCTGCTA